TATCTGCAGTTCACCATTTTTTGGAATTCCTTTTATCTTCAGGTGGTTTAGAGTTTTCCTAAAAATATACCGATACTTTACCGTGGCATTTTACTTGTCAGTTGGGTGCAGCTCAAGCGTAGCCAGAAATTATGAAAATTTTTTGGAACAAAAACAGTGAATCCCAAATGAATCTCGCATTTAGCTTCAAAATAAAACTAAGTATCTCTTGAAAAACGTTGCTTTCTGGTCAAATGCATGATTCGAAACTGTTCTCATCGGCTTTTTGAAGCAACAAACGAAACTGACCAAAAACTCTTCATCAGTGCCCCTTGGTCTTTCATAATTGCAAGTTATCAATTACTTCCTCATCGTACTTTCGCCAATTGCACTCTTTGAATGAGTGAGCGCGATGAATCACCGGAACTACAGAGCAACGAAATATTTCATGTACCATTTTTGATAAAAATCTGGCTGTACTAATGACAAAATTTCCGTTGCTACAATGGCACTTTCCAGCTCACGCTCCTTAAACACGAAATTTAAAATTGGAAAAATTGGCTAAAAAATTTCATAGCTTAAAAATTGAGACTCAAAAGTTGAGTAAAATCAGTGTGTTTATTGTTTTAGAAAATAAATCACGGGGAAAGAGTGCTAGCTGTTGTTGCGACTTCAACAGCAACGCGACTCGGAAACCAGTCATCGAAATAAAGCGAACTGACTCAAAATCGAGTTAGCTAGTGATTCGAATTCAGCCTATTAATGGCTCAGGTCGTGATAAATCATGATTCAGACCCATATTTAGAGGTCCTTACAGATTTTCATGATCCAGATCAGTCCATAAAACGGCTCATATTCAAATGCACATTTGAGGCTCATTTGCTGCAAGTTGTGAGAGTCAACTATTTTTTCCTTTGAGTAATTTTCGATGAGAGAAAAATGAAGCTGTCACCGGCACTCATGACCAGCATGAATCAGATCCAATGCACGTGAATCTATGTGTTTCAGGATCAAGAGCGAGCGTGGACAGTGGTCCAGAATGCGCCATTGGCTCGCATTCATATGCTTTACCAGTTTAGCACTAACGCATTTGGCGCTAGCAAAAGCAACCGCTGCTTCTAAGGACGAAGCAGTAGCATCTGCTGGCGACAGTGACTCAGTTCGGGGAGCGGATGAGGCTAACACAGGGGCTGAGGAGCAGGAACGCGAACCTCAGCACGATTCACCGCTTCCGGGCTCAGAAGCGGAATCGAAGCATGCCCTAGAAAGGGATCATAACTCGGATGGTGGTACGCGAACAAAACGTAGCTGCGGAGGTGGCGGTGGAGGATGCGGTGGCGGATGTGGATGTGGTTGCTGCCAGAGCTGCTGCTGCTGTCAGAGGTCATGCTGCACCACGTGCACCACAACCACAACGTCTGTTTTCATCGTCACTTTCATTTGCTAGTTCGAAGGGCAAAATTAGCGCTTCTTTATAAGCTGAAAATTCAGCAGTGTTGTAATCAAGAAAAGAAAAAGAAATACGACTTAAGATTTTGCCAAGGATCGCCCACTAGTGAGGAGAATGTGAAAAATCTAGTTAAAGGCATAAAAATTATCCAGATAGCTGTAGGATTTAATTAGAAAACGTGGAATTAAAAAACAATGAGACTGATAAAAGAATGATAAAAATTTTTACCGATGGAAATAGACGGATTAAAAATCAGTGGAAAAAAATGCCCTAATTAGACATCTGGAGCAAAAAATAGGAAAGGAAGGGGGGAAACCGTTTTTGGCAGTGCGCCCTTAAAATGCGGATGCGCTCGAACTTTTCTGGCTCACGCTGGATGTTAGCCTGTCAGGCCAGTGAGTTTCGAAATGGCCTAGGGT